ACTACGCCACCAGAGACTTTCTTTTAACCCTATGTTGTCAGTATTGCATCTTCCTCAACCTCTGCTGGCCCTGATTTCTTCATGTCAGGGGCCCCTCTGGGTTAATTTTCCCAAATATATTTTCCAAATGTCTCCTGTCAGAGTAGGAAAAGACAAGTCCCCTGACTGCTGGGAAGATGGAATAAGGAAGGTGGCATCTATTTCCTGTTCTTCAAAGATATTTTCAAATGGTTTCCAGTTTTCAGCCTTCATGATACCCAAAAACATAGATAATTGAAGATAATCATCTTTATTTTCTATTTTATCTTATAGCCTATACTAGAGACAAAGATTACCTTGTAGGAACAACCAGTTTCTAAACATGGAAATAATGAACAGATAATATGCTTGGTGGTATTCAACTTATCAGTGACTTGAGAACCACATGTCATCATTTAGTATAATTTTCTCTAAACAGTTTAACATTTCTAAAATTGAAGCTTCCATTTTCTGGTGGATTTGATAATTTTGTTCCCTAGTAGAAGGCATTTCACATGAAACTGCCTGCTTAGTTTGAATCAACTGTCCAGGTTGCTCATGAATAAAAAGTAATTTTAAAATTCTACTATGAAATATCCTTATTACTTCCTATTTTCAAGGTTCTTCCTTTGTCTGAGTACCTTTTTCTTTTAATCATTACAAAAAAATACTATTCAACCTGGTCATATTTTCAGTGCAATTTTAGTTATTTGTAAGTGCATACTTTAAAACAAAGGGTACAATAGTCTCTCTGTGCTCTGAATGATTCCTGGGTACCTGACTGGTTTAACTTATAAAATCCATGTAGCTTATAACATTAGTATTTATCTCTAAAATCATTGTCCTTCTGACTATAATGTGTAGTTACCTGAAAAATGGTAAAAGAAAAGAGAAGGAAGCTAATTTTTTTTACACACTCATGATTTCACCAGTTTCTAATGTTTTCAGCTTGATTATCCATGCTAATAGTTCTATTCTCAAAATTTAATTCTGTCAGGATTATAGTTTTAAATTGCACAGAAACTAAGGCCTCAAATTTGCCTTAAACCAGGTAAAGTGTAACAAGATTTCTAGTTGGAAATATAAAAATATGTTGTTGTTGTTGTT